CAATATTTAAAATTTTATTAGAAAAATTTAAAATTTAAAAAAGTTTGTAGGCAAATTTGGCTGCAAAACAATTTAAGGGATAATAAATAAAATATTAATTTATATACTGTCTCTATATCAAACTATTGCCTCCTGCTAGTAGAAGTTAGAGTACACTCTACTTCTACCCTGTATACACTCTGATAGTAGGATCTCTGCACTGGGTGATTTTGTTATCTTGCTACTTGGTGACCAAGAAGGCCATAGCATTATAACACTATATACTGTATACTTTAGCATCTTGATTAAAGTTTACTTATTGTTTCAAACAGTAAATATATATATATAATCAAACAACAATTTTAAATCAACATACTAAGGTAATCTAGTATAAATAGTATATAAATATACTAGAGAATTTTTTTTTTTTTTACTAATTTTTACTATTTTAAAACTATAATAATTAAATTTGTGAAAATTTTTTTATTTGAATTTTGAAATTATAAAAAATTAAAATAAAAAAAATTATTAAATTTAATAAGATAATTGCTAAGATATTTAAGCTTAAAGTCAAAAAAACTTTTACTTAAAAAAAATTTAACTCTTTTTTATTGACTTCACTCTATATGTCTGAGTTTTTATTCTTAGTATTAGGCTTAAAACACAAAATCTTTTACAATCCTGTAAAAAGTTTAATAAAGACAAGAGCAAGGTTTTACCTTAAACATTAAAAAAAAAAATAAATCTATATAATATTTTTTATTTTATTAATAGTAATACTATAATAACAATAAAATTTAAAAACTTTATTTATTATTAAAATTTTATCAAAATATCAATTAACAATATAAACCAACTTTAGCCTTAGCTGCTACAATTATAATACAAAAATATACAACCTATTTTAGTAGATTTAATTTTTTATTTATTATTTACTATATGTAGTTATATTAAAATTATAACAAATATTTAGCTTCTTTTTTAGATTAATAAAAATTATTTAAAACCAAATGCGGTAAATAAATATAAGAATTTTAGAGTTATTTAAATTTTGTATAGTCTTTAAAATCTATTAATAAAAATGCAAAAATTGTTTCTAATCAACCTTTTCAGTCTTATTTCCTTCGGAAAATAACGTACGATTATTCTCCCCTCTAGTTGTTTTTAACCGGTTTTCAAGATTTTCCCCATCGTATCCCATAGCTTCTAATTGTTTTTTACCAATTAATACCCCTATAGGCACATTATCATCATCGTCATCATCCCTCCTCTTGCTATACTTAATATTCCGAGATTGTTCTTGTTCATGAACAGCCGAAGATTGATGATCATTTTTCGTAAAACGTCTAATTGAATGACCATAATCATTTCTATCATCACCAACACCTATATGTTCAGGATAATTATCATCATCAAAATCGTCATATGCAATTTCTTCTATTATTTTTTCATCATTATCAGAATATTCATCACTCTCGGAATATAAAGTACTACCATCAGAATTATGGTAAGGATCATCTATATGGTCTTCATCACCTTCACATTCATAATTACTGGATAACATAGCACGTTCTTCTAACGAAATATCCCTAACTAAATAACCCTCACTATCTCTTCTAATAAATTGTCGAGGATATTTTTGATTACGAGAAAAAGAATTGTTATGATTATTATAAATATCCCATGGCTTTGGTGCCAAGGAAGAAGTAGAAACAGCATCAGGATCTTTTGGTGGCCATATAATTGATGGGTCTAAAGAAAAGAGAAAGATTATTGTAATTAAGATAATTAAGATAAATCAAAATTACATTGATTAACTCTAGAACACAACGAAAATATATTAAATCTAATTTTATACAAAAGTTTAATTATTTTTTATAGAATTAAATAGAAGAGCATAAATTCCCAATATTTTAAAATTCTATACAAAACAATTAAATAATAATTATAAGTAATAAATACTACAAGTTTCTAAATTAATAAATTGACCTTATTTATAAATGTTTTGTTTTTTTTATTATTACAATATTATTATTATTATATTAACATAATTAAACTATGAAGTCCATATCCAAATCCGATTCGTCTGCCGTACCTGCGTCTTTTGAGATTGGGAAAGATAACCCAGTACCTTTAATTTCTTGTGGCCAGCACCATAATAACGGATTATCACCAAGATTTGCACCAATATTTTCTATGAAACCAATATCATACGGAAAGATTACCTAAATAAAAGTTTTTTTTTCAAATTAAAGGTAAGAATTGAAAAATACATAAATTTTACAAGTTTATTGAATAATTTATAATTTTTTTGACTAACCTCTTTAATTTTACCTCTTCGAACCATTGTAGCAACTTTATCTTTTTCCCAATTTTCAATCGTAGTGGTGTTTGTCCACATACAATAAAAGTGATACAGGCTTAACATACCAACAGAAAAAAATACAGGTATTACAGCGGCATAATTTAGAACCAAAAAGATGATTTCTAGTGACGATGGCTCATCAACAGGAAACTAAATAACGAAATTAAATTAGTAAGAAGTGATTTAATGATCCATAAATCATATGGGACCCCATACAGCAAAAAGGGGCAGTGAGATATTTTAATTTTGTATAAAAATTCTACAATAATTTTGTATCTAACAACTTAACCCTTCAAAATATAAAAAAATTGGTAGATACAAAATTGTTAAAGAATTTCTACACAAAATTAAAATATTTCACTGCCTCCTTAGCTGTGGGGGACTCCATATACTAATAATATTCGATTAATAACATTCTATTATGATATATACTCTAACATAAGATATATCTTCAATTAGTCGCATTGTTCGTTTGATCATTAATATGATATGATAAAGGCAAGCCACATCAACCCAGAAAACAAAGCGGATAAAATGGCCATAGTTGAAATATCCTACACAATTATTAGTCCATGGACCTATAAAAAGCAAAAATTATTAACCTAAAATAATTGAGCTTACACCAAGAATTAAGAAATATAAAAATAACATAATGTATATTACGCACAATGATGATCCATTTTTAATACACATCTGAAAAAAATATTTTTTTTTATTATTAAGAAAAAAAAAAAAAACCAATTAAATAATAGTAACGGGTAAACGAATAAAATGAAAACCTTTTACAAGTCCGACAATGATGGGATCGAGGTGGTTTATAAGCTGAACATGTCCTACAATATCGAGGAGAATGTGTAGTTCGTTTTATTTCTACATCTTCTTGATTTTCCTTGGGATACTGTTTGAATTGAAAGAACAAGATTTGCTTTTTTTCAACATTTTTTATTCAACAATAAATAAATCGTAAATGACAGAATAAAACTAACCCAATCTTTTGGCACTCTTCCGGGATCTGTTGTACATGTTAAATAGTAATTCCAATATATTAATATCACAGAGATGTTGAATGGTATTAAGACTGTTAAACAATGTACATTGAGTCCACCCAAAAAATCCCAAAAAATAAATATTTGACTGGTATATGCCAAAAAACCGATAAGAATAGAAACGCCGATTATAAAAAGACGGCCAGTGTTAACCATTTTTGATATTGTAAAAGAAGTAATCTAAGCAGATTTCCTACAATGAACGAAAATTTTTATGTACATGTTCGAAACAAAATTTAAGACTATATAATTACTAATACACTTATATGCTAGGCTTGTTTAAACACGTGCCGGTCCACATGTCATCATTCTACTTTATTCTACTTCTAGATAAGTAAAGATTATCGTCCGGAGACTCCCAATTGCATCGACAGATTTTCATTGATCTACATTGATAGATAAATAAGCCTTACGTTATGTTAAAATAATACAAATTATTTAGATTCATGCTTTACAAGTCATTGGCTATCTAATCATAATTTTAACCGGTTATCTGGTTTGCCGACCTAACTTCAAAAATCTTAATTCCATAAAATTCTAACGTGATATTATCGTTATTAGTGTTTCTCTGGGAAATATCTGTATTTATTAGGTAAAGAAGGGTGTTAACTAGTTTTAATTTCTATACACGAATCTTAGAGTTTAGAGTCCTTCGAAAATTATGGTATTACACTTTAATTGGTTAACTACATTATCACATGATTTATCCACGTCGGAATACTGGAATACTTTATCGTAAAAGCTTATCTGTTATATTTAGATAATCATTTAACGATCAGCGTTAGTGCTTCGAAAGTTTAAATCGATTAATTGCCAATTTTTTCGATTCATTAATTTTCGATTCGTATCACTACATTTCCCTTTTAAAACATGGGAAAACGGAAAAAGAAACATGTGCCGACTTCACCGCAAAATACATCTCAAAGTACGTTAATGCAAGGCTATTTAATTGAGTCTTCATTAACGTTATCCCCCTCTTTAACTAAAAATATAATGCATATTTAATTTTTTCTCACTTGAATCTAAATTAAATTATCTCATGTGATTGTTTTTTACTTACCCAGTTTTAAAAAAAAGAAAACCGCAACGTCCGGCAACAATTCCAACGGATATTTATGTTTCTCGTTCTTCAAATTTTAAAGGACAATTGCAGCGGGCCAAAAAGCTCTTAATTAAAGATGGGTAACAAATCTTAATTTCATGTGATTTTTTGCATAACTATAAATTCAATTACTATAAACCAAATTTTAGCCATCCCTCAATAACAATCCACGGTTTAGGAGCCATGATTCAAAAATCAATAAATTTAGTGCTGGCATTAAAAGACCTAACTCATAACCAAATTATTTACAAAGCTACCACTGGCACAGTTGAACTGATTGATGATATTATTCCTGAAGATGATGTTAAGTTCACCTTTTTTTTTTTTAGAGAATAGAAATTTATTTACTCGTAGCATTTTAACAATTTTTTTTCTTTACATATAGGATAAGGACTTAGAAGTTCAAACTAGAAACAACTCTAGTATACGTATTCAGATATGGCTTAAGGAAAGTATTGAAAAACTTGTGTAAAGTCAATTTTTTTATGAACATGCTTTCTGTTGAGTTCTAATAAAAGTTAGAGGTTCTAATGGTAATAAGATCAGTAAAATTGGATTGGCAAATAAAAAATTACAAACATCTTAAATTTAAAATCATGTAAAATTATAAGGAAAGATGATTTTTATATTAATAAAGTTTATTATGTGGTAAATAAAAGTGATAGCTCTCACGATATATGCTGAGGCATTATATAATGTTTATTATATGTAATGGCAACAAATCACATTAATTAATCCGTACTTTTCAAGAATTCATTATGACCATACAAATTGATATAATACATAAGAGATAATATATGATTAAACAATAAAAGCAGAATACCAAAAAAAACCGATAGACAAAATTTTTCTTCTATATACTAAATAATAATTGAAACTAATTGAATGCATAAACTAAATCAATTAAATCAATTTTCTACAATCTGTGATATTCAAATTACAGCAAAATATGTAGAAAATTATAATCTTAATTATCATAAGTAGTAATTTTTTTTTTTTTCTTTTTTTTTTTTTTTTTTTTTTTAGTAAATAATACCAGCAAATTTGAATAGCAAATTCAAAATTGTAACCAAAAAAAATACTGCAAAACATTATAAACATTATAAACATTATACCCTAAAATGATGGCCACCCAATTCCACGTATATAACCACCCATTATAAATCATCATTCTTCAAGCTTTACATTTTTTGACTCTTCTTTCTCAGTTTTCACCAAATCCTGATCATCCGGATCATCACTGAATAAACCCCGGTCGTCATCGTCATCTTCTATTTTGACGGATGTTGGTGTATAATCATGGTCATCAGCACCATCGAATTCATCATCGTTCTGCAGCTCATCATCGCCGGCACTACTTGCATTACTTGGTTCCACGTGATGACTGCCATTACTGTTAACAGCAAAAGTTTCACCACCAACTAAATCTTCTTTCTTTTTCAAATGATCAGTCAAATATTTGTTCATTGTAAAGCTATGAATTCTATCTTGTTTGAATATATTTTTTAAATTGTCATCGCAGACGATATATCGTTTATCATTTGGATCTTGGAGACTATTTTCTTTAATATATGCCCATAGACGCTTAACGACTTCAAGACGAGAAAGCTAATATCATAAAAAATAAATAAATAATAAATTAATACAATTATTCTAAATTTATCATATACATATATATATATTTATATTTATATATTATAATATAAATATGTATAAATTTTATATATATATATTTGTATATAAATTTTATATATATATATTTGTATATATATTTATATATATATATATATTTAAATTAATGCTTACCTCTTCGGCATGCAAGAATTCGGATAATACAGGACTCAACACCAATGGTTTGTGAATTCCAGTTACACCTTTCTTTTTCTTTTTGTTTTCTTCGCCATCATCATCATCGTCATCATCTCTTTTTCGTTTATTTGAATGCTTCTTCTTTTTAGATGATTTTGATTTTTTACTACCTCCATTCAATTTCAATTCTTCTTCAAATTTCCTCTCATATTCACCATCAGATAAAAGTTCGGTAGAACTTTTTGGTTTTCTACCTCGCTTCTTTTTTCGTGGTTTATCATCATCCTCCAGGGATGAATAATCAGATGTTCCATTAGATTTTATAGTTGCTTTGGGTGGTCGAATTTTTTTTGCATTAGATGATTTGGACGATTTATGTGATTTTTCATCTCTATAATGTTTCTTTTTTTTTTTTTTTCACTTCAATAAAATCTTCGAGATCTTCTGGATCATCGTCACTGTTTGCACTTTCTTCACCGATTTCGTCAAAACACTTTTCGATAAGTTGTTGTACTTCATGTTTTCTAGGCGCAAGGTCAACTTTAAAATCTTCTTCCAATTTCATTCGAATGTCTCGAGCAGTAATTTTATTAGGATCTGAATTCTTAAGTATAGATTTAATAGTTGGAATAAATTTTGATATATTGACCTCGGCCATTTCGTCAATCTACTAATGCCTAATCAAACTCTTTATAAAGAATATTGTGACACAGTAGATCGCAAAACTTTTACGTATTAAAATATTTATATGCTGTTAACAGGTTGGCTAAAGGTATCACCAAGAAATGGTAAATAAGAAAATTTTGATCTAATCGGTTTTTTTTTTAATTGACAAAGGATAAAAATTCAAAACTATGCGGCTTTCTTTTTGTGACTTGGAAAAAAAATCTTTATATGCAATTTGTATTGTCATTATGTCATAAGCCACCCGCAATTGAAAAATTATAACTTTATCGTATATGGTACTACCACCAATTCAAAATATAAACGAGTAAAACGCTGATTTACTACAGTAGTTTCCTTTTGTTGGCGGATAACCCAAATTCGGTTAGATTTATTACATCACGTGAATACATGTTTTACACAAAAAACTTTTTTTTTATAAAAATAGGTTTTTCACAATTCAATATATATAAATATATATATATCATTGCTATCTTATTTCTCCTTAGGCATTAACTATATTAATTAATCTTATGCCATTCTAAGAATCCAAAAAGGTCTTATAGATATATTATTGTTTCTTAACCTTAGCATGTGATTTGCTAGAATGACCATCACTATGTTTTGCGTGTCTCTTTTCGGGTTCGGGTGATCGTATTACATATGAAATCATTTTAATAAACCAGTATACATTTAAGCAATTCAACAAAATATTAGCAGTTCCGTAGAGAACACACAAAAATGTTGGTATTTGCGAGACTACAGGAGTAACGGAAACTAATAAATAAATAATAAATAATAATAAATAAATAAAATATGTAAAAATATTAAAAATATGAAGTTAACAAAAATAAATATAAAAAGCTCCCAGAATCAATAAAAAAAAAAAAAATACACTTACGGAATACTTGGTAGGACATATAAAATCCAAATACAATTCTCGCGAAAAAGAATGATGCAAGTAGACAAACACCATTTATTTTATGTAGTAAAGTTTCGCTCATACCAAGTTTATCCTGCGTTAAATCAAAATTTTTAAAAAATTTATTTAAAAATGTTCAGGAAAACAGAAAAACAATATATATTTACCATAAACCAATGCATGTTCAAAAAAGGAGTGGAAATTTCGTACATTAAAAATACTGATCCATAATAATTCAAAAATGGTCTCTTTAACATGAAAAAAAAAATAAAAATCCAGTTAACACAAGATTCGAGCAGGTTTAAGATTATTAGACTAACATTTCAACTTACAAAGGCAAATATGAACACACTAAAACAGCATAAACCATGTAATGCAAATCCAAAACCAAATTCTTTGACATAATAAAAAGACGTAAGTGCGTCCCAAAGGAAATACCTGATTAAAAATAATAAATCGTTAATAAAGTGTAATTATATTTCAAACAAAAAGCTCATATGTTGTTTAGCTCACCCGCAAGCAATGGAATAGACGTTTCCAGCATAAGCAGTATAACCAAATATTTTGTCATTTTGTAATTCTTCTTGATAAAATATTGGGAACGACAAGAAGACCACTGCCAAGCAATGAACCATGCTCACACAATGTATATCCCAACTAAGTCTCTTAATTCTTGGCAAGTTATTATAAGTTTTTGGAAACAGTTTAGGAGAAACAAAGCGAGAACTTATGAGAGTAGCAGCACATCCTAATGACGAAAGAAGAATTACATGCCAGTGATAAGCTAGTTTTGGCAGTGAAATAGCTTTAAAAAAACTTTCAAGAAATGCTTCTGAAGATGCTGGTTCCATGATATATATATATATTGGAGTAAAGAGATATAATATCTGATATTATGATAATGAATGTGATTTATCTGACTTTATATACAACGTCGCTTTGTATTACATGATTGCTGGATTGCGTATTGAAGTTTCTGGGGACTGGGGTAATTGCAGATTGGTCAGATGATAAAACACGGAATCTTTGGGCAAATACAAAAACGCGTAAAAAGCCTTTCATTATCGTTGGGGCAAAACCAGCATTTAGATTACAAACAAATTCGATAAATATTCTATACAAATTTAGGATAGCTTATTTTTTTTTTTTAATACTGTCCAAACAAAAAACGTGCACAGTTTATATGCATTTTGTAATACTTATCCGATATTAATTTTCAGTATGTACATGATTAAACATCAGTGAATCTGTTACCAACACTCTGGAAATCAAGACGTGTTGGATATTGAATTAGCTTCGATCTAACTATTATTAGTTGCTAAATGCTATGAAGAGCAGATTATGTATTAGAAAAAATCCGAGTAAGTTTCAAAGTAAAAAGAGATGTTTTAGAGTTAGAACTTTAGAATTTCTTATTTTAGATTTATGTCAACCATTCCTACGTATTATTATTTTTAAGGCGTTAATATCCTACCGTTATTAGGCAACTCTTTTAGCGGAGAATAACACAAATTTACGTCGAACATTTTTTATTATTCTATTTGTTAAATTTGGGAAGCATCGAAAATTGTTACACGAATGCTAGAATGTACGTCACATGTTCTCAGATTTGACTGAATTATGCAATGGATTAGTAAATTATTCGCAATGTCAAGCAGCTTTGGTGTTATTTCGAAACACTCATTTACAAGTTCATATGATTTATGCTTTTTTTTTTCTCAATTATGCAAAGCATATGCGATGCAAAAAATTATGTGATCACATAATCTTGAACGTTAATGCTTTTAATCGAACTATACGTATAATTCTTAAAAATTATCAAACTTATTCAAATATATGACCAATATTTTTTGCAGTTAATTAATAATAATAAATAAAAGATGTGTAACCTAATATTGGTAACTCAAATATACAATAGCTTAATCAGAACAATTAGAACAATTATGATTCAATAGACATTAGACATATCGGGTATTTGTATATAATCGTTAATTATCTCTATTTACTTTATTTTTATATAATGTCACGGATGATGCTAAAATCTATTTAAATTTTTTGAGAGTAAAATTTGTTTTTAGATTTAGAGTTAGGGTTTATAATAAAAGATATATATAGGTAACTATAGATATGGTAGCTAGTGTAGAACCTTTGGGCGAACTACTTAAATTAAACAACCAAAAGTTGTAGTGTGACTAGTTGTACTCTTATTATACAAATATAACATGTTACTATCTAGGCTAAACTGCTAGTATTAATAAAATGCCAATAGTCTAAGTGGTTGTCTTAACATTAAAATAAAAATAATAAAAGTAAAAGATAGGGCAATACTATTTGTATTTTTTATTTTTGATATTTATACTCATTTATATAAAAAATTATAATTCTTAATTCAAGATAAGGCTATACAAATTTAATTACTTGGTTTTTATAACATGAAGCTTTTAAATAGACTTGGCCAGCTAGCTTTTTTTAAAAAAATTTCATATATAAAATTTTATAAAATTTAAATAAAAATTTTTTTTAAACCTCATCTGGTTATTAAAACATATAAAAAAATTTTTTTGGAGTTCTCAAATTTTGACTTGGCCAGGTTATAAAAACCAATTATATTTTTAATTAATTCTGCTTCTAATACTCTTAAACAGCTTGCTAATTACAATTACTACTCTACTGATCTTATATTCTATACTGATGGTTCTGTCATTAACTCTAGAAACCTCCAATGTTCTATAGGGATCAGTTGGCTACAGATTGATAATAACAATATTTGCTATACATTCCATGCACAAATCTCACTATGGCTATGCTCTTTTAAAGCTAAACTGCTTGCAATCTTGTCTGCTATATGCACTGCTCCCAGAAACTGCAAATATCCAAATCTTTACAGATTCACAATCTGTTATATCTAAATATGAAAACCTAATCCAACAACCAATTAGCTCTAACTTCTCAAATATATCTTATTGGTTAATATAGAATACACTTTTCAACTTTACTAAATCTTACAACCAAAAAATCACTTTTTATAAAGTTAAAGCACATCAGAATAATATATTCAACAACAAAGCTGATGAACTAGCTTGCAATCATCTTGACATACCATTCTTTATATTTAACCCTCACAATATTTACAACTCTTTGTATACTCCTTTCTTAGAAGGCTACCCTCTTGAACTCTCTATCCATCACAATATCCAAACTATATGCCATGCAAATATCTTCGCTCTCTAGTCATCTCAAAATCATTTTCAACCATGAATACGAATTTCCCAGCATATAAACTGGGATGCAACCTGGCTATACCTTAACAATAACTAAAAAGTTTCTAACTTTGCTCATAGTTTCCAGTCCTCTACACTTAAACTATTTAGAATTAAACTCCTTACTAACAAACTCCCAGCACCCTATATATTGATAAAAGAAACTCACTTTATCCTGATACTTGTCACATCTGTCATCAAACTGGCACTATATTACACTGGGCTATATGCCCTTCACCTAACCCTATCTACACACTCATTAAAAATTCTTTACAACAAACTATAACTGCTAACAAACTACAAATATCAGTATCACAAATTAACTTGTTATATAACCAAATAATTAATCTTGATAGTCTTCTAATATACAATTTTCCTGACAAACCTTCTATTTTATCTACACTTTCTGGTCTTATTCCATTTGACATTATATATACAATACGTGAATTCACTACATCCAATCAAGCAGCCAACTTAATCTCTATACAATTTCTTCTTTATGTTAACAAACAATTGTACTCAAATATTTGAATCCCTTATTGTAGTTCAGAACCTCAACTTCAGCTAATACAACCCCAGCTACCTTCTATACCAGCACTTTTTAGAGATACACTTTCTATTTCTGACACATTTGATATCACTTTTCAAACATCTTCCTTAAAAGTATCATCTTGGTACACTAACTAGATTAAATACCGTACACACCCTTCTTATATTTTTAATTTATTCCAACTCTAGGTAAGCTTTGGCTACTCTGGTAGGTTTAGACCGCAGATGAATATTTAGGTTACCTATTAGATTTTCTAGATGTCTGGGTTCTTATTCTTAGCACTAGGCTTAAAATTTAAAACCTTTTTCAAATATGTAAAAAGTTTTCATTAAGTTTAATAAAGATAAGAGCAAGGTCTCACCTTAAATATTAAAAAAAATAAATAAATCAAACTATTGTAAAAAAAAGCGAATAGGTGCAAAATTTATCTAAAAAAATTTGTAACTTTTAATAATAAATAATATTCAGCATGTAATTCCAGTTATAATGGTAGTTAAATCATCAAAATCAGTTTAATATTTTCCGAAATAGTTTAATCAAAATTTATATATAATATTTCAAATATTCAATGTAAAATAAATCAAACTATTGTACAAAAAAGCGAATAGGTACAAAATTTATCTAAAAAAATTTGTAACTTTTGATAATAAATAATATTTAGCATGTAATTCCGGTCATAATGGTAGTTAAATTATCAAAATTTATATATAATATTTCAAATATTCAATGTAAAATAAATTAAACTATTATACAAAAAAGCGAATAGGTGTAAAATTTATCTAAAAAAAATTGTAAATTTTGATAATAAATAATATTCAGCATGTAATTCTGGTTATAATAGTAGTTAAATCATCAAAATCGGTTTAATATTTTCTGAAATAGCTTAATCAAAATTTATATATAATATTTCAAATATTCAATATAAAATAAATCAAACTATTGTACAAAAAAGTGAATAGGTGCAAAATTTATCTAAAAAAATTTGTAACATTTGATAATAAATAATATTCAGCATGTTATTCTAGTCATAATAGTAGTTAAATCATCAAAATTAGTTCAATATTTGCCAAGATAGCTTAATTTAAATTTATAAAAATTCAAATAAATCGCAACAATGCACTCTATTGTACATATTGTTGAATTTGTTGAATTTAGTTCTAAATTGATCCTAAATTATATTTTAAAAATTCTGCAAAGTAACCCCAAATTTTGTATCAAACAAATATATATATATAATTTAAGGAGTAAATAGATACAATATATTGTAATTGTATTTATTTACTTCTTAAATTACTTTTTTATATATATTTTGTTTGCTATATATGTACAAAACTAGAGACTCACTTTGCAGATATTTTTGAAAATACAAATTAGGATCAATTTAGATCTAATTACACAAATCTGATAATATATACAATAGTGTGCACTATTGCAATTTATTTGAATTTATATAAATTTTAATTAAGCTATCTCGGTGAATATTAAACCAATTTTGATGATTTAACTAATATTATGACCGGAATAACATGCTGAATATTATTTATTATCAAAAGTTACAAATTTTTTTAGATAAATTTAGCTCCTATTCACTTTTTTTTACAATAGTTTGATTTATTTTATATTGAAATATTTGAAATATTATATATAAATTTTGATTA